GCATTATCAGTTAATTTAGAAATTAATAGAAAATTTAGCTTATTTTAAGTTAAAAACTTACTTCTGTTGAACTTTTTGTGAGTCTAAAATGAGATTTGAAGTCATCCATAGAATATGAAGGTACGACCTCTTCAACGTAATTTCGTATCTTCTGTCGCTTAGATTTTTTACGTTCATTGGAAACAGCGATGCCAACCATTAAATTTTCATACCTCCTTTTTTTATTCTCTTGTAATTCTTTAAATAATATGTTACTTTCTAAAACTGAAATCAGCGAACAAGGGACAGCGTCCATTTTGCTTCAGCGACAAGCGTTTGTAAAATGCCGTGCAGCGACATGCAGCGGTTGCTGCTCGTGACGTCATTTACGCTACATTTTCGCTGCATAAAAAAACGCGGCCTAACTTTGGCCATTTCCTTCTCAGTTTTACAAAATTTAATTAAGATTTCAATATAATAACATTGTTTGACAGTCTGGCCACTAAAAAACTCACAATGTCTTCATAACATGCTAGATATTGAAGAAAACAATGGTCTGGGCAGTTGTCATCTTTCACACTTTCTCTGCTTTCTGAAAATCATTTTGTCATTCAAAACTCTTGTGCAAGAGATATATAGTCTTCATAGTAGAGCATCAGTCAATAATTGTAAAGTTTCCATTGCAAATTTCTCAAGTTGGATGAGAAATTTAATATAAACTCATTGTTCACTTTTTCCAACTAAATGCAAACTCATTTCCATACTAAGATCTGTACTTTAATCAGTAGTGATGAACAAATGGGAAATTTGTCACACAGAAGAAGAGGTGAAGTTTGAACATCATCTTTTTATTTTTCTACTGGTTCCTGATGAACAATCAGTTTTGTTATTTTCATGTATTGTCTTCTTTTTAAATTTAATCATCTTTATTGGTTTACAGCTTCTTTTATCCTCAAGCACATTAATGTTTCTTTTCTTAAAAGTTTTATGTAAAACAACTCTTTATTACCATTTTTTAATATAGTAGTAATATTATTTTTTCCTCATGTTTTGGAATTGTTGTTTTATGCCCTTTTGCAAACATTATCATATAACATATATAACATTACAAAATAAAGAACATAAATAACTTTAAATGGATTAACAACCAAAAACAACCAACCTTTTTCTTATTACAGTAGAGCATCGATTATCTGAATACCGATCAACCAAAACATCAGTTAACCAAAAGTGTTCCAGTCGGCAAATTCAAATTTTCACTGGTGCTGTGGCAATGCAATATTTGCTATGTCTTGGGCTACTCCAATATTATTTTTGTTGGTATGCGTGTTTTTAGCTGGCAGCACTGGCACGACCATATTGTATTTTTAAAATTATTTCTTTATTTTGCACAAACAAAATAAATATATTGAAAAATATAAAAACAAAAAAAATTTATATTTCAGAAGTTAATCTAGTATCAAAAACATTCCAATTCAGCACATGTTGAGAGAGTACTTAAGGACATGCCAGTATTTGAATGAGGCTTTTTTCTCCTATTGTGAGTGGTGTGTTTTGCTTCAGCTCATCAAAGAATATAGCCCAAGCAGCTGACATCTCCAGATAAACCCAAGAAAAAGAAAGAGTTTTGCTTGTTTTGTATGATGTTTTTCTGAGGACTGTGTGTCATGCTGAATTGGAATGTTTTTTTATACTAGATTAACTTCCGAAATATAATTTTTTTTTGTTTTTATATTATTCAATATATTTATTTTTTGTGCAAAATAAAGAAATAATTTTTAACGATACAATAGCCACAATTATTATTTTTAAAAAATTTTTGTTAGGCTTAACATTGACGAAAATTCAATGCGAAGCAACACACTACAGAGAAAAATTTCAACATGTGATAGGTTAAAGTATTTTTTCATACATGATCAGTTATCCGAACAACCCCAGTCCCAAATTGTTTCGAATAATTGATGCTCTACTCTATTTCTTATCTTAAACTATTTTTTTAAACTTATAAAATTATAAATACTTACAGCATGTAATCTTTCAACTAGTGAAGTATCACCTAAGCAGTTGTGTGTGTTAAACCAAGAATCAAAATCCTATAAAAATATTAATAAAAATAAATTAAATTATATTTCATTAAATTTATAAAAATTCATTGTTAAATAATTAATGATTTCTACTGTCACTGTTAAATAATCACTGTTAAATAATTAATGATTTCTAAAGAACAATGGATAATGTCTAAATTTGTAATTCATCACCAACAGTCATAAATTAAACAGCAATCATTTTACTTCAGATATGTAAATTGCTTATTGGTTACCTTATAATTCTAACTCTTGATAATGAATTTTAAAATATTTCATATACATAAAATAAGATTTGTTAAACATAAAATTTATTAATTATACTTTAATATATTATTACCTATGCAATTAGAAAATCTATATTAGTTGAATCATTGTCTTATTAAATAGCCATAGTAAAAGTTTTTGAATTCTTAAAAATAGCTTACTACATAAAAAGAAATTACAAATCTTTCTTTAGACCAGGGCTTCCCAAATGCTATCATAGGGGAGTCGGATGATACCCACAGGTTGCCTGCACGCGACATAATGAGTGAGTGCATGGCGCATGCGTCTCATCACCCTGTCCTCCATTTTCCCGTCCTTTCGTTCAGTCTTTTGTTTTCATCGATTACAAGTGTTGATGAATCAGTGATTTCAAGTGTGTTGTATTTAATTTACGCATTGTAAAATGAATAACTTTATTTAAATAAATAGAAAATGTGTTGAAGACTCAGGAAAGAGTACAAAGGAAACTGTAGAAAAACAAAAAAAGTACAGAAAATATGATGACCAATATTTAGATTTTGGATTTACCTACATTAGCAAAGGAAATGTGGAACTACTCCAATGTGTTGTTTGTCATAAGGTGCTGGCAGCTGAAAGTATGCTTACTAATGAATTGAAATGTCATTTAGAAACAACTCACAGTAATTTACAAGGAACACCGCGAGATTTTTTGCAAGAAAATTGGGAGAACTGAAACATTAGTTGACATCCTTGTTTTCCAGAGCATCTGTTCCCTCCAAAGCACTGCTTGCCTCTTACAAGGTCGCTCACCATATTGCCAAATGCAAGAAACCACACACGATTGCTGAAGATCTTATTTTACCTGCAGCGATTGATATGGTATCAGTGATAATTGAAGAATCAGAGGCTAAATAAATAAAATATATTCCTCTTTCTAACAATACGATTAGTCATTGCATTCATGGCATAACTGAAGACATTATTGCTCATTAATGTCTTCAGCTATGTCATGAATGCAATGACTAATCGTATTGTTAGAAAGAGGAATATTTTTTTATTTATTTAGCCTCCAATGAGCAAATTGTGAAAAACTTTCTGGTTTATTTGCCATTCAACTGGATGAAGCAACAGACAGTAATAATGATGCTCAATTAATATGTTACATGTGATACATGGAAGAAGCAAATGTATGTGAGGATTTGTTATTTTGCAAAGAAATGACTGATACCAGGGAGGCTAGTGATTTGTCTGCGATTATAGATTCATACAAGAAAGAAAATAACATTCAATGGGAGAACTGGGTGTACAGATGGAGCTTGTGCAATATCAGGGCAGTATGGAGGCATTAAAACCAAGGCACCAAATGCAAAATGGACACATTGTGTCATACATAGGGAGGCCCTGGCTACAAAAAATATTTCACCTGAATTAAATCTTGTGATTGATATAATTATTAAAGTGGTAAACTCTATAGAAACAAGACCCATGAAGGCAAGATTTTTCCGAAAGCTTTGTGAAGATTTGGGTGGCGAGCATAAATATTTAATTTATTACTGTAACTCTCGTTGGTTGTCGAGAAGTAACGTACTGTCATGTGTATACAAATTAAAAAATGAGTTGTACACATATTTATTGATAGAATCACATCATGATGCAGAAAAGTTTAAAGATACTGACTTCTTAATAAAACTGGCATATTTTTGCGACATATTTGAGAAATTAAATATCGTTAATAAATTGCTGCAGGGAAACGAAACTCATATACTGCAACTGGCTGATAAAATTGCAGCATTTAAAAAGAAGTTTCTGTTGTGGAAAAGAAAAATAGAAGAGGACAGCAAGGAAATACTGACTGTTTTCCTGTTTTAAATGGCTTTCTGCAAGAAAAATCTATTCAAAATCTGGAGCCAAGTTTGCAATTGATATTTATCCAACACTTATCAACACTAAGCACTCATTTTGATACATATTTTGCAAAGAATCTAGATCAATATGACTGGATTAGAGACACATTCTAATCGACCCAACCCTCATCTATAGGCGAGAAAAACAGCTGTTAGAACTATCTTGTAATACAAGCCTAAAACTATGATTCAATAAAGACAAATTATTTCAATTTTGGAGCAATGTATCCCAAGAATATCCTACTATTAGTACTACAGCTTTGAAGGTTCTTTTACTGTTTACTACATCATACTTGTGTGAAACTGGGTTTTCTGCAGTTGCAGTAGTCAAGTCGAAATACAGGTCACAAATAAATTTAGAAAAAGAAATGAGAGTAGCAATTTTAAAACTTCAGTCCCAATTTGAGAAGTTATGCTCAGAAAAGCAAGCTCATCCTTTTCATTAATTATACTAATAAATAATAACTATTAAGACTCTATATTCTTTGGAGTTTTCTTTGAATAATAAAGTAATTTTAATGTCTGCTAGAGCTACACGCAGGCATCTTCTTTCAGGAGGGCGTCGCAAAAAAATTACTGCCTTTAAAAGGAGTCACAGTATAAAAAAGATTAGAAACCCCTGCTTTAGACAATACTAATTAACACACATACAGTGATAACTCAGAACTCAAACATCTCAGAAGTCGAACAACTTGGCATCTGAACAATTTCTTCAAGGAACTTTTGCCCAAAAGTCAAACTTTTCTTTAAACTCTAACATAAAGGTGGCCATACTGTATGGTGTACAACATCTGTACAGGTTTGAATGATGCGATAGTGTTGTCAGATTGGCAGACACGGAAGCTGAACTTGCTTATATCACACAGATAGCCTGGGAGCACAGTTTCAGTGAGCAATTAATTTTTATTTTCGGCTACAAACAATGAAAATTTGTTACTTTTCTAAATTCATTGACATGACTTTGAAACACATTGAACAAGCTCAGCCGCATACAGTTCATCTATCGCATTTTATTGCATTATTTTTTATTGTTTTTAATCTATTATTTTTTCCGTTGCTTTATACATTAATTAGGACATTTACTTGTGTTATTTTAGCTTAAATTATGATTTTTAGAATTAAAATGGTCATATTTTAGGGTTTGGGAATGGATTAATTCATGTTACATCATTCCTTAAGGGAAAAATTGCTTTGAAACTTTCTGGCACTTGATTGCCCCCCAAAAACAAATTGAATTTGAGTTCCACAGTATCACTGTATAAAAGTATGTTCCAATGTTACTATATGGTTGAATTCTATTTATTGATAGTTCACATACTGATTCCTTGAAGTTGAGAAACCATTATGTGGTTTAAAGACAAATTTTTACAAATTTGATAAACCACTTTACAGAAGCAAGTCTAACCTCCAAATTGAAGCTATGATGAGTAATGATCTTTAAATTACAATGAAAATATAATAATAAGAATTTAAAATCCTAAATAAAGTAAAAATTCATTAGTATAGAAGAAACATTCAAAAATAAAAAAGGCCATCTTTATAATTTATCCTTTTTTTCATGCACCTCAAGAATACAACAAAGCCATACATCAAAGTTGATCTTAATTTTGAAGTTCTTCTCTGCCTCAACATGTAAAAATGTGTCTTTTATATATATAACGCTGATGTATGGCTTTGTTGTATAACTTAAAATATGTGTATATATACATATTTTAAGTTCTTCTTCTATACTAGTGAATTTTTAATTGTAGCATTCATCCTACATATTTTATAAATCCTAAATAAAGTTAGTCATTAAACAGAAGTAATCTTTAAAAAATCTAAGTTATTCTATCAGAACACAAGATTTAACAATATTTTTACAAAATAAGTTAGACAGCCAGACTAGTTTATAGATTATAATCATTAGATAAAAAGATTGAAATCTGAATTATATCTTTAATAATTTTTATAAACACACAATTTAAATAATTCCACAATAATTCTTAAATTCTTAAAGTTTTCTTAAATCAATAATATAAACAGTATATTTTATCAATTAGAGTAAATTAAAATTTCCAATGTAAAAATTACACAAAAGAGAAGAACTATCACGAATAAATAAAAATCAGAAATAGAAAAATATCATCAAATAAATAATAAAAATAAACAAAACAAATAAAAAATATTCATGTATCTGAATTCAACTGCTTGCATAAAAGATAATACAATGAAATACAGTAGAACCTCAATTATCCGGATTTTCGATTATCTGGATTGTTCAAAATAAACAAAAATTTTACGAATTTGCTGATTTGCACTTGGCACTTAGCAAATTACGACACTGTTTATGTGTACGTGATGAAACTTTTTTTGTTTCAACAGCGTCTCACCCAGGACATTAGTCATAAACTCTTAAATATATTTTACGTCGTAATAAAAATATAACTTGCCATACGTATTTATAAATAATTTATATTCAAATTACATCATTCTATGACCAAGGGCGGCATAAGGCATGGACGACGTGGACCACCGCCTATGCCTCGTGGTCCGAAGGGCCTCGCGCCTTGAAGGTTTATGCATTACTTAAAAGCTGCGAATGCAATGAAATAATTTTATTCATCATAAAACGATAAATAGTTTGTTAAATTTTTATTCATAAAAATGCAGTTTCAACTGCTTTTTATTTTATAAAGCCTACTTCTTGCGCCACCAGAGGGCCTTTCAAACAATAGGTAGTCTGTTAGCACTGGTCAGTAGTAGTCCAAATTCAATACAAACATTTGTTTCTTGAAAATTTGATCACGATTTAAATATAGTATTTATTTTTAATATTACCGATATGTCATCGAAAAGAAAANTTTACCCAATTCTCGAACCGTGTCAGAGTGAATC